GTCGGGAGAAAAGGCAGAGCCAGGCTCCCGGCACCTCAGGCCCAGCCCCACGGCCGCACTGGCTTTAGCACCATGGACAGTGGTGCCCCCCACCCCCGCCCCTGGACCCTCACCCCTCATGTCACCACACGGGACCATGCGGCTCATCTGGAGCCGCCGACACCCCTGAGAGGCCCGTGGTGTCCCTGTGGCTCCGGCAGCTGAAGAGGCGCCCTTCCCGGTCGCGGCTGGGAGCCGTGGCGCTGGCCTCCGGGGCTGCTGGGGGCTGTGGCTCTCGTGCAGGATCTCGGAAGTCACCAGAGGACACCATTGAACCGAGGACAGAGGGGATGCGACACGGGCGCAGCGAGGGCGAGGGATGGATGTGCCCGTGTCCCAGGCAACGAGACGGGGCAGGGGGCCGGCTCCGCGGCAGTTACCGGGGACACAAGCAGGAGGCCCGGACACTGGGACACCACGCGGAGCTGCCACAGCTCCAGGAAGAAAGGGAACCCATGGAGGGCCCTCAGGGGGTCCTGTTCTCATAGCAGCGTCCGGGGTAGACAAGTAAGGGCGCCAGTGAGCCCAGGAGAAGCAAGAGGCTGCCCCAGAGGCCACGCGGCCGCAGGCCCTCCGCCGGGAAGGTGTGCATGGAGGGAGGGCACACGCTGAGCCCTGGGGAGGGGGGGGGTGTGAGTGTGCGTGTGGGAGAGACCAAACTCACACACATACACACTTGCACACACACATGCACACACTCACATACTCACACACACACACACATAATACACACATATACACAAACATGCACACACACACACACACACACACACACACACACACACGGTCCAAAACAAACAGAAAAAGTAAACTGCTGCCGGGAAGGGCCATCAGGAGAGGAGCGTCCCCGTCACCAGGCTCACAGAGCGCCTCCATCCACGGCCACTGACTTTGATCAGAAACACACGTGACGTTTCAGTAAGAAACAGGACACGCAGCCCACGCCACAGTCGCTCCGTGGGCCCTGCGCCCAGGGAAGACCGGGCTGCCTTCTCTCCCAGGGCCGGCCCACCTGAGGCCTGGGTCTTCCCTCTGCCCACCACAGCCCTCCCCCGCACCCCCATTCCCTCTCCCTCCTTCCCGTCAGCCCGCCTGCCCTGCCCGCTGGTGGGGAGGAGGCGGATGGAGGGGCGAAGTCCTGCCCGGAGCAGCAACTGCA